CACCCCTATGTGGTCAGATATGGTGACCACAAGATGGTTGGCAGGGGAGGGCAATTAGGAAGGCCAGGTCTGCACAGAGGGCAGTTTTGGGGCAATCAGGCTGGCAGAAGAGTAGTTAGGCATCAATCAGCCTGGCAGAGGAGTGATTAGGAGGTGATTAGGCTGGCAGGCAGGAGAGCAGTCCAGGGAGCCAGCAGTCCCAGATTGTAAGAGGGATGTCTGAGGGCCCCCAGATTGGAGAGGGTGCAGTCTGGACTGAGGGACAACCTCCCCCCCCCCCCCCCCCCACACACACACAGTGCACGAATTTTGTGCACCAGTCCTCTATTATGTATATAAAAGTATTATTGCAACTGCATAGAAACTTCATCTCTTTACTATGATCTTTTCTCCTTTCTTTCCTTTTGATTCAAACTGGCCTCATGCAGCTCCCTTATTCTATGAAAATGTACCTTCTGCAGCTCTGATTTTTCAGGATTCCATGCTCTTATCCTATCCAATCTTTTTTTATTTTTTTTAACATATATTGATTTCAGAGATGAAAGGAGATGGAGAGGGAGATAGAAACATCAATGATGAGAGATAATCATCAATTGGCTTCCTCCTGCACACCCCAAACTGGGGATCAAGCCTCAATCCAGGCATGTGCTGTTATAATGTATGGTCATAAGAAAACCCCTCTAATCTGTGAAATGATTATTGTGTGACATGTTTGTTGTGTGGAGACCCCAATACTCTGTAACTTCCAAAATGTTATAAACATAATGAAAGCCCCTCTATCTTGATGTAAATGCCCTGCTCCTAGCAGAAAGCACACAGTCCGGCCCACACTGGTAAGACACAAGTTGTTTACTATGGCTATATAAGCACTGGACCTTCTTCATTCGATGTCTCCTGCCTGATAGAGGAGGACTCCATGTTGTTCTGAGAGACGAGCCCCTAACTGCTCTGCTGTGTGAGCCTGAAGCAACTGCAGCCGCCTGTCTGTCTCTGTTTTCATCGTCTGTCCTTCATTGTGCATCACCGGGTGGCCTTTGCTGGAGCCTAGGACCCACTAGGAATAGGTGAATAAGCTCTGTGTGATTGCATATAAATTCTGTCTTGTGTGTCATGTATTCAGGTTTGGCTCAGCTGTCTAGACTTTGTAGTACTGTTATTGCTGACCCCTGGTTACCTGCGTATGTCCCTCTAAGTCTAGACAGATAATTAGTCAATTGGGGCATAATTGGGATATGTGCCCTGACTGTGAATTGAACAATGACTTCCTGGTTCAAAGGTTGACATTCAACCACACTGTCCGGGCCTATCTAGTCTTTTTACCCATATTTTCACAGGCTAAAACCCTTCTTCACCCTTCTTCTTTATGATTGCCATTTTAGCTTTCACTGCACATGTTGCATAGTTCTCCTTAGTCATATGCCACATATGCTTGTCCCTCATGCCATCCTGTCTTCAACTGTGCATGCTCTCAGTGAGAGACACTTCCCATCAGGTTTTATCCCTCCCACCCCCTTATCTGGTGGAACAGTGCCAGTTACTTCCTGGGGTGATTGAAAAGCATGGAGCTGGTCCTGTTTGTTCCCTTCATTTTTGTTAATATCGAATGTGAACTGCAATACGAACTTCCTTAATCAATGGGATTATTGATTTTCCCCTGTATAACCCAGCCCTTGGAAGCTGCTGGGGAGCCAGATGTCTGAGCATGGGCCACTTCCTTACTGTCTTTACTGTGAACTTCTGTTTGTGTCGTATTGGGCTTTATGTGCACAGGCAAACAGACCCATTTAGTCCACTAACATTGTGAATGACTATACAATTGTACACATTATTATTTTTAGTTTTTACATGGTATGATTATGTCTTATTTCAAAGCCAGCTGTCAGAAACTAATGGATAAATTAAATCCATTTTATAAAATGGTTTTAATTTGTAATATTTTTAGTATTTATTTGGCAATTGATTGAGGTTGTCTTCATCTATAACCTTCAGAATTATATATGAGTACATTTTATTTATAAACATTGGAACCATTTAAAAAGTAACTTTAAAGCAAAGGACTTAAATAGACACCAAAGGGGACTCCCAGAAGGCCATGAAAAAAATGCTCAAAGCCACTAATCATCAGAGAGATGAAAATTAAAATGACAATGAGTTATCACCTCACACCTGTCAGAATGGCTACCAACGACAAGTGCTGGTGAGGATGTGGAGAAAAGGGAACCCTAATACACTGCTGGTGGCAGTGCAGACTGATGCAGCCATTATGGAAAATAGTATGGAGTTTCTTCAAAAAATTAAAAATGGAACTCCCATTTGACCCAGTGATCTACTTAATCTAGGACTATATCCTAAGGAACCTGAAACACAAGTCATAAAGAATATATGCACCCCTATGTTCATAGCAGTACAAGTTACAATAGCTAAGACCTGGAAACAGCCCAAGTGCCCATCAGTAAATGAGTGAATAAAAAAGCTGTGGTACACTTACACCATGGAATACTACGCAGCAGAAAAATAAAAAAGGATCTCTTACCCTTTGAGATAGCATGGAGGGACCTGGAGAGTATCATACTAAGTGAAATACCATATTTTCCGGCGTGTAAGACGACCCCCTAATTTTACAGTTAAAACATAGGTTTAGGCCTATATTCGCTGTATAAGACTACCCCCCCCCCCCCCCCCCCTTCAAAGAAAAGACTTACTTTGCCGTCAAGATCTGCAGGTAATTTTTGTGCAATTTTGGTCTTTTGCCCCCAATTTTCGGTTGACTTTTTTTCGTTTCAAAAGTCATCTTATACACCAGAAAATACGGTAAGTTAGTAAAAAAAAGACAAGTATCATATGATCTCACTCAAAAGTGGAATTTATTGAACCCCGCTCCCAAACCTTGATTGGGGGCAGGGTCATCTCACCAATGGCCTGAGGCCCCTCCCCCCCAACTGGCCCCACCCTGATCAGCCCTCCCTACCCCAATTGGGGGTGGGCTAGCTAGCCAACCACCAAATTTAATATTAACCTGTGGCTCCTCCCCACAGCTGGCCCCTCCCCCAATTGGTCCCCCTACCCTGATTGATGGTGGGGCTGGCCAGCCAACCTCCTCCATCCCCTCCCCACCACTGGCCTGACCCGATTGGTCCCAATCAGGGAGGGCTGGCCGGACTCCACCTGTGCATGAATTTGTGCACCGGGCCTCTAGTAAGATATAAATGAATGACATATTATATATCGGGATTAGAAAAAGTAAAAAATAAGGTGATAGAACTCAAAAATTAGACATAAAAGAAAAATCATATTAGAAGGGGCAATAAACACAGCAAATAATGTTTTAACAAAAATGAAAGATTAAAAGTTAAAAAAAATTAAAACCCAAAGAAAGAAAAGAACATCTAAGACAAGCAAAGACGATACATTGCACAAACTAAGATAAACCCTGAGAACATACAGCATTTCTCAAAGAATATGTTGAACAACTTGGTAAAAGACTCCAGTTCAGTCAAAGGAACATCCCATTTCTACTTATTTGTACCAATTTTGGTTCTCCTTCAAAAAAAAAAAAAAAAAAGGTGTTTAACCTATTCATATTTATTATACTTAGCATTTTCCTTTTTTTATTTTGAACATCAAGTTGACTAGAAATATGATTTTGTTTTAAGAATAGGACACAGTTTGATTTTGGAGTTCATATAAATTTTTCTCAAAAGGCCACAGCTAAAACAAATCTAAGCTTTTCCAGTTTACAGGAAATATCACAAACATTAATTATAAACTCATGTGTTTATTAGTGGTTATTCTACCAATGTGGCTCAACCATGCTATATAATAAAAGCCCAGAAACTGTAACGGTGTAATGACTAGAATGACCAATGACCAGATGACCAGCTGGTAGCTATGATGAGCTCTGACCCAGACCTTGCTGTCCACACTCTGACAGCCCCGAATCCCTTTTACCTGCACCCATGACCTTGACAGCAGGGAAGCGGGAGCCCCATTCCTCATGGAACTGGCTGTTGGTCAGCTTGCTGTCCACACTCTGACAGCCCCAAATCTTGTTCGCCTGCACCCTGGACTCTGATAGCAGGGAGGTGGGAGCCCTATTTCACACAGAATCTACCCTTGGTCAGCTTGCTGTTGGCAAGCCCAATTTATTCATAACCATGACATCCAACCCAAAATGGGCAAATATTACAAACAATTTACAATGCTGGAAAAATGTTGAAAACAGACCTGACTTGGTAACCAGTGTTTTTAATATTAACCTGGACTCTCTTTTATTTGTTTATTTATTTATTTATTTATTTACTTACTTATTTAATATATTTTATTGATTTTTCACAGAGGGGTAGAGCGAGGAATAGAGTTAGAAACATCAATGAGAGAGAATCATCAATCAACTGCCTCTTGCACACACCCCACAGGGGATGTGCTCGCAACCAAGATACATGCCCTTGCCCAGAATCGAACCTGGGACCTTTCAGTCTGCAGGCCGAAGCTCTATCCACTGAGCCAAACTGGTCCCAGCCTGAACGCTCTTTTAAATGAGATATGTAAATTCTTTTTATTTGGCAAAGTTATAGCTAAAATTCATGTCATTAAATTTCAGAAACATGGACTGCCTCAAGCTCACATATTATTGATATTAGATAGTGAGTCCAAATTATGAATGGTAGATGACATTGATCATATAGTTAAAGCAGAAATTCCAGATAAAGACCAGTGTCCTCAACTTTTTCAAATTGTAAAATCAAATATGGTACATGGACCATGTGGAATACAAAATCCAAATAGTCCATGTATGGAAAATGAAAAGTGTTCAAAGGGATATCCGAAAGAATTTCAAAATGAGACCATTGTAAGTATTGATGGATATCCCAAATACAAATGAAGATCCGGTAGCACCATGTCTATTGGAAATAAAGTTGTCAATAACACTTGGATTGTCCCTTCTAATCCTTATTTGTGCCTTAAATATAACTGTCAAACAAATGTTAAAATCTGCACATAGATTAAGAGTGTCAAATATTTATTTAAATACATCTATCAAAGGCCCAATTGTGCAAATATTCAAGTTTCCAAAAAATATTATCAATCATGACGAAGTACAGGACTTCATTGACTCTAGACATGTGAGTGCTCCTGAGGCTGTTTGGAGACTTTTTGCAATGCAAAAGCATGACCAATCTCACGCAATCACAAGATTAACTATTCATTTGCCAAATAATGAGAATTTGTGGTTTCATATCTATGATTTTACTGAAGTTACAGATAGGCTAAAAGGCATAATTCAACTTCGATGGCTTGGTTCTTATTGAATAGAGAAGATTCCAACGCACGTAATTATTATTATTGGAAGATTCCACAACAGTATGTGTTTAATAATTCTTCGTGGAGAAAACATCAAAAGGATGGGAATAAAGTTTTAGGTAGACTGTTCACTGTGAGCTATAGAGAACCAGAACGATATTACCTTAGACTTTTGCTTCTGCATGTAAAAGGTGCAATAAGTTTTGCTGATCTGTGAACTGTAGGAAGTGTAATTTATGATACATTTAGTGAAGCTGCTAAACATAGAGAATTATTAATTGACGACACTATCTGGAAAGATACAATCAACAATGTGATCATCCTTAATATGCCCAAGCAACTCTGGCAACTTTTTGCATATATTTGCATGTTTGCATGTCCTTCTGATGCAAACAAATTATGGGATAAGAATAAAACTCATTTTATTGAAGATTTCTGTTGGAAATTACACTGAAGAGAAGGGGCCATGTGAACAGTGAAATGCATGCCCTTAACAAAATTCAAGAAGTATTCATATTGCATGGAATGAAATGTTCGCATTTCAAACTTCCAGACTACCCTTTATTAATGAATCCTATGAGTGACAACAGGCAGAGGTTTTGATAAATTCTCTGAACTATGAACAGTTGGCAGCCTTTCAGACTTTAACTTCCACCATCAAAGATCAATCTGTACACCCCATATGCTTTTTCTTAGATGATCCAGGTGGTAGTAGAAAAACATATCTTTATAAAGTTTTAATACATTATATTAGAGATCGTGGTGGTACTGTTTTACCCACAGCATCTGCAGGAATTGCTGCAAATTTACTTGTTGGTGGAAGAACCTCTCATTCCCAATATAAATTACCAATTTTATTAAATGAAACTTCAATTTCTAGACTTTATATAAAGAGTGAAATTACTAAAACCATTAAAAAGGCTCAACTTCTTATTATTGATGAATGCACCATGGCATCCAATCATGCTATAAACATCATAGATAGATTACTAAGAAAGATTGTGAATTTGAATGTTGCATTTGGCAAGAAAGTTCTCCTCGGAGGGGATTTTCAACAATGTCTCAGTGTTGTGTCCAATGCTATGCAATTAGCAGTAGTAAAAACAAGTACTTTAGTATTTGGGGATGTTTCAGAAATTTTCCTCTTAAAACAAATATGAGATCAGAGGATTCTGCTTATAATGAATGATGTAAAACTTGGAGATGGAAAACTTGATAGCAGTTTTTATTTAGGAATGGATATTATTGAAATCCCCCATGAAATTATTTGTAACAGATCTATTATTGAAACTACCTTTGGAAATAGTATATCTATAGATAATATTAAAAATATATCTAACGTGCAATTCTTTGTCCTAAAAATCATGATGTTCAAAAATTAAATGAAAAAATTTTGAACATACTCAATGGAAATTTCCACACCTATTTGAATGATGATTCCATTGATTCAATGGATGATGCCTCAAAGAAAAATTTTCCCATAGAATTTATTTGTTTTAAAAAATATATATATTTTATTGATTTTTTTACAGAGAGGGAGAGGGATAGGGAGTAAGACACATGGATCAGCTGCCTCCTGCACACTCCCTACTGGATATGTGCCTGCAACCAAGGTACATACCCTTGACTGGAATCAAACCTGGGACCCTTGAGTCCACTGGTTGACACTCTGTTCACTGCTCCAAACCGGTTAGGGCCTCATCGAATTTCTTAATAATATTACACCTTTGGGAATGTCATGTCATAAATTAAAATTGAAAGTAGGTGTAATCATCATGCTACTGAGATATCTTAATGGTATATGGGGCATTTGTAATGTTACTAGATTTATTATATATTTGTAATGTTACTAAATTTATTATTCAATGTAATTGAAGCTGAAGTATTGATAGGATCTGCAGAATGAGAGGTTGTTCTGATTCCAAGAATTTATCTGTCCTTGTCTGACACTGGCCTCCCATTTAAATTTATTCGAAGACAGTTTCCCATGATGCCAGCTTTTGCAATGACAATTAATAAATCACAAGAACAAACGCTAGACAGAGTAGGAATATTCCTACCTAAACCCATTTTCAGACATGGTCAGTTATATGTTGCTTTCTCTTGAGTTTGGAGAATGTGTGACATTAAAGTTGTAAATACTTCATCACAAGGGAAATTAGTCAAGCACTCTGAAAGTGTTTTTACTCTAAATGTGGCATACTGAGAGATATTAAAATAAGTTTAATTAATTTATCAGTCATTGTTTATATCAATGCTGTTTTTATATCATGTTTTTATTGTTTTTATATCATGTCTTTGTTACTATTATATCATGTTGTTATTATTTATTTATTAATAAATTATATATTATTATCATATACATTTTACTACTTTTCTTTAACCTCTGACACTTCTATTATAGAGAAAAGGTGAATAGCAAAATTAAAATATTTCTTCTAACTAATTTCCTTGCAATGTGCATAAATTTGTGCACCGGGCCTCTTGTGTAGAATAATTCCATTTAAACAATAGTTACTAAGCACATACTGTATATGAAATCTTCTGCAAGAATACTATCCTAGGTTTTTGTATTCTAAGTGTTATGAACAATATGTACAGGGATGGGAAAAAGGAGACTTAGATTGGTTCAAATGGAAACATACAAATCCCATATAATAAAAGCCTAATATGCAACTTGTCCCCTTGGGCAGTTGTTCAACTGGAATACAAGGAGTTCTACCGCTTGCTATGATGTGCGCTGACCACCAGGGGCAATGGATGTCAGTGATGTGGCACTAGCAGCGGCAGCAGTGGAGGCACTCCTGGCCCTGATGGTCTCCAACTAGAGCGGGACTGCATTGGGATTGTGGAGCAGATGAGTGGGGGCCTGAATTGTCCTGCTGATCACCCTGCAGAGACCAGTGAGGTGGTGGGGGCGGGGCTGCCACCTGGCTCCCAGGCACTGAGGGAGGTGGGCCGGGGAGCCTGGCCTTGATCAATCACCCTGCAGGAGGTTTGGTGGAGCATGCGAGGAAGCAGCACCAAGACATGGAGGGGTGCCAGGCGGGGCTGCGGGGTTTGCGAGGCTGGGGGTGTGAGCTGGGGCCTGATCCTGCAGGCCACCTGGAGGGACTCCACTGTGCATGTGCATGAATTCATGCACCAGACCTCTAGTTAATAAATAATAATGCAAGAATAAACTTTGTGTTTTGCATACTCACAACTGTAAACCGTCCTGTATATACAGGTATTTGAGAATTTAAGAGAAGGACAATAAAATTCATTCGAATAAGTTCTCATTCATAGTTTGGCTTTTGAGGTGTACTCTGCAGGAGGAACAGGATTATAATAGAGGGTGATGGGAGAACAAGTTGCTGCACAAATGAAGACCACAGGACAGAACATACTATTTTCTGAGAACAGTGTATGACCTACCTCTGGTTTGTATGTTCTTTAAATTTAAGAAGCCTTTGGATAGGGAGCCCATACCAAAGTGAAAAACAAAACAAAACAAAACAAAAAAAACACAAAGCAATAGCAAGGTGGCATGGAGCCATTTCCTCGAAAAACCATTATGCCTTAACAGAAACACTGATAGCCAGTGGGACCATTGGCAGCCTTTGAGCACCAACTAAGGTATGCTTTAGTTAGGTTAGAATAACGTATGTTGCAGGGTAACTTACAAAGACTTTCAGAGGTAGAGAGACCAACAGTTCACTCTAGCAATGTTCTGGAAAGAGTTAATAGAGAGATGACTTAGGATTGAAAGGGAGAAATGCAAAATTGAGGACAGATGAGAGAACACTTCATACAAACAATCTACAAGTGTTGAATACACTTTGAATGCCAAAGATGAGGGAAAGTTATATGTTAAAGAGAAAGTATTCCTAGGCTTTGAGGCTGAATAACTGTAGAAGAATGTGACATTAACAGAAAGAGGAGAATAAGAAGGATAAGTTGGTTTGTATGTTAAGAAGGTAATGAGTTCAGATGTGCACATATTAAACTTGAAATGCCAGCAAATATAAAAATGAACCTACTTAACAGGCAGTAGTAGGTTGATTAGTAGTTACAGAAAGGCTGAAAGTAGAGTACTAGAAATCATATATGCAGAGAAGATTATTGAAACCATAAAAATATCTGAAAAAACAAAGATGGTGGGGGTAGAAATAAAAATAATTAAGGAAAGAAACTTGAAGATTGCTAATTTTAAGAGAGAGTAGTAAAATAGAACAAAAGGTTGCACAGGAAGTGTGTGTGGGAAAATCACTTGTAGATTGTATGTCTGAAGTGTTCTCTCATCTGTCCTCAATTTTTCATTTCTCCCTTTCAATCCTAAGTTATCTCTTTATTGACTCTTTCCAGAACATTGCTAGAGTGAACTGTTGGTCTCTCCACCTCTGAAAGTCTTTGTAAGTTACTCTGCAACATATGTTATACTAACCCAGGTGTCGGCAACCTACGGCTCCAGAGCCACATGCGGCTCTTTTGAAGCTTTACTGCGGCCCCGACAACTGGCAAGCCTTTGTGAAAATGAAGGTAACGTCTTACAGCCTGATGTGCTGACACTGTGCACTGAGGTTCAGGAGCAAAAAGCCCATTAACCAGGTAAATTAAATATTTTAATTAGCCATTAATTTGCAAAAATATATTTTACATTGTTAAGTGAAAAAGTCCTTTTTTTCTTCAGATTGACAGCTAACTGCACGATCCGGTATATAGCATTAAGGTAAGAAACAATATATGCAGTGTTATATTTGTTTTAAATGTCGCAATGATTTTGCTGCTCCCAGGTTTTTTTTCCTTCGGAAACGGGTCCAAGTGGCTCTTTATGTCTTAAAGGTTGCAGACCCCTGTACTAACCTAACTAAAGCATACCTTAGTTAGTGCTCAAAGGCTGCCAATGCTTCTACTGGCTAGCAGTGTTTTTGTTAAGGCATAATGGTTTTTCGAGGAAATGGCTCCACGCCACCTTGCTATTGCTTTGTGTGTTTTTTTTTGTTTGTTTGTTTGTTTGTTTTTTTACAGGAAGTAGTAAATTAGAACAAAAGGTTGCACAGGAAGTAGCACATGCCACCAAGACAAGGAAACTGCCTTTACAAGTAAAAGTTACCATGACAAGCCTACCAAGGTTCAGGAAAATGGATGCTACTTCATTGAGGCTGGAATCAATTTTGGTAATCAAACACTATTACTACACTACTACTATAATTAAAGCTCTCTGATAAACTGAAATAATCTGTTTCCCCCCATTTTTCTAAAATATCACAGAGTATTGGTAATCCCAAGTAAACATGAATTTGTTATAGAACAAATACAACACTATTTACATGCTTCTATTTATTTGGTATCGTAGCCATGATTCTAAAAATACAGTTATACAAACAGTAATATGTACTTTTCCAGATATAAGTTAGAGAATTAATATTGGTAACTCAAGCTCTTTAGAGCCAATAATAAGTTAGGGAATATTTTTCATTGTTGTTAAATGAATTACAATGTAAATTAGCCCACATCCTACATAGAATTATAGATGTGAACTTGCTTTGTGAACACTGTAATCATAACTTCCCTGGTTTTAGTTCTTTTCTTCTGTTATACAAAGTAGGTGCTGAAGACACCTCTAAGGTACCTTCCTAACTATATATTCTAATATAGTTCTGAAATACCTGTTAAGTAATTAACTCTGTTAATATACAAAGGTGGACTTGTATATTAAGGTGGATTAAAGGAGGGAAAGCGACAAGATGAGGAATTATTAGTCTTGCATACATGTCAAGAAGAGTGTTTTAAATTCTAAGTACTTTATTGGAGAGAGGCTTCAGATAAATGTCAAGAGACAGGAAATATAACCTTGGATGCTCAGCCATGTTATTTTGCTCCAGGGAGTGACAGATTGGAATAGCAACATTTTCTTAAAACAATGTTGTTTCAAGAAAAATGTTAGGCAAAAACTGAGATCTTCTAGTGGGAAATATCCTGCAAATATTAACAAGAGATTATGAGAGTCCTAGCTGGTTTGGCTCAATGGATAGATCATTGGCCTGCGGACTGAAGGATCCCAGGTTTGATTCTGGCCAAGGGCACATGCCTGGGTTGCAGGCTCGATTCCCAGCCAATCAAGGGGTCTCTCTCATCATTGATGTTTCTATCTCTCTCTCCCTCTCCCTTCTGTTCTAAAAACCAATAAAATATATTTTAAAAAAAGAGATTATGAGAGCCCTGCAACCATTAAAAATTAGCCTGTAATTCTTTTTAAAAATAAATACACAGGTCTAGGTTCTTCACAGAGATACTTTCATTCTAAAGAGAGTGGACTAAATTCAACACTGAGGTACTTAGGAATCCTTAAATGAATCTCTGCCAGGAAGATGGATGGTTGACCAATTCCAGTACCATCATTAGCTATACGAGACCTCGAGATCATGGCCTGCATTTTAGAAATCTCTTGTGTCACAGCAGTTGTCAAAACTCACTTTGAAGTATGTCAAAGATGAATACGAGGGGGTGGAGTGGGAGAATCTATCATCTATTCTCTAACATGCTCAGTTATTTACAAAAATAGGTTAAACCAAGGCTGGATTTTTCCTTGGTTTCTAATTCTTAACTGCTGAAGTAGATTAAAAAAATAAAAAATAAAAAAAGACTACTCGCACTTGCTCATCAGAATAGTTAACAAATAATAAATAAATGCATTACTGGTTAAACTCACAATTTTTACTAAATACAGTACCTTTTCCATTTATAGAAAAACTTGAAATAGCTGATTGGCCTTAGTGACTGATATATTAGATTTAGCTAAGAATTAAGGCTAGATAAAATACTTTATTTTAATAACTCCATATTTAAAAAAAATTGTTTTACCATCTTGGGTAGTATTTTAAATAGTGAAAAGACTCATTCAGGATTTAATTTAGAGGCATATAAAAATAAACACTTTAGATTAAAAAGAGAATAAATACATTATGTAAAACTTGCTGATTAATTGAATGTCTTTAAATTCTTTTTCCCCTAACAATAAATTTAACATGATTTATCCTTTCTCCTGCTGCAAACTTTTAGAAACATATATTTAAAGGGATAAGGCAAGGCTGGAAGGACTGCACTCTGCTGGTGGACAGGTATCCTATTAAACCTTTCTAGAGGACAATTTAACAATTTGTATTAAAATCATTAAAAAATAAATTTGACTAATAATTTCACTTTCTTTTCTTCTTTTTTAAAAAATATATTTTATTGATTTTGTACAGAGAGGAAGAGAGAAGGATACAGAGTTAGAAACATCAATGAGAGAGAGTCATCGATCAGCTGCCTCTTGCACACCCCCTGCTGGGGATATGCCCGCAACCAAGGTACATGCCCTTGACCGGAATCGATCCCGGGACCTTTCAGTCCCCAAGCCGACGCTCTATCCATTGAGCCAAACCGGTTTCGGCTAATTTCACTTTCTTAAGAAAATAATCATAGCTATAGAAAACACCATATATTAAAAATCTTAGGTGGTGTCTTGACCTTGCACAATGCCCTCGTGCGGTGTCATCACAAGATGGCAGCCACAAGATAGCCACCACAAGATGGCTGTCACAAGATGGCTACCACAAGATGGCTGCACACACAGTGGAGGAAGGGCCCAGTGGTCGCTCTGCATGGTGAGGCCTGAAGGTCCTGTGGCTCTGCGTGGTGTGGAGGAGGCTGGTCCTGGCATCTCTGCCATCTTGCGCAAAGGAGGCAGGTCGAGGCAAAGGAGGGCAGTTGTGGATGATCAGGCTAGCAGGGGAGGGAAGTTTTGGGCAATCAGGCTGGCAGGCAGAAGGGGTTAGGGGCAATCGGGCAGACAGGCAGGCGAGTAGTTAGGAGTCAGCGATCCCAGATTGTGAGAGGGATACCGACTGCCGGTTTAGGCCCTATCCCTGTGGAATCAGGCCTAGCCTGGAAGGGGTCCAGAATTGGAGAGGGTGCAGGCTGGGTTGAGGGACACCGCCCCCCCCCCCCCCCACACACACACACATACACACTAATTTCATGCACCGGACCTCTAGTTCTACTATAAAAGGGTTTCTTGAAATTATGTTCATACTAGAGGTCCAATACACGAAGATTCGTGCAAGAATAGGCCTTCCTTCCCCTGGCTCCCAGAAGCTCCTTCGTTATCGCCCAGAGCCACCTTTCCACTTTCGTTCTGGCACTGAACTGTCTTTCTGTCTTAGCTCTGGCTGGAGCTGCCTTCCGTCTCTTGCCTTGTTGCGTCAATTTGCATATTTCCTCCTTATTGGCTGTTGGTGCCGTCATGTTTGTCACAGTTATAGTCAATTTGCATATTCTTTCTTTATCACATAGGAATACAAATACACAAATAAGATAAAATAAATATCTGATAAAATATTACTTAAATGATAAATCTGGTGTTATACACCCAAATACTAGACTATTTTGCCATCATTATAAATGTTGTATAGTATTCTTTTTTTTTAATTTAATAAATATTGATCAGATTAATATAATTGTTTCTCCTTTTTCCCCCCCGCATAGTTCTCTTCCACCTGGTTCCCACCCCACCCTCTAGCCTTACCTCTCTCCCCATTGTCCTCATTCATAGGTGTATAATTTTAGTCCGATCTCTTCCTGTACTCCCCACAGCCCTTTCCCCCTGATAATTATCAATCCACTCCCTTTCTTTGCCCCTGATTCTATTATATTCATCAATTTATTCTGTTCTTCAGATTTTTACTTCACTTGATTTTTAGATTCTCTTGTTGATCATAATTTTTATCTTTACTTTTTTTCTTCTTCCTCTTCTTAAAGGATAGCTTTCAGCATTTCATATAATACTGGTTTGGTGGTGATGAACTCCTTTAGCTTTCTCTTATCTGTTAAGCTCTTTATCTGCCCGTCAATTCTGAATGATAACTTTGCTGGGTAGAGTAATCTTGGTTGTAGGTTCTTGCTATTCATCACTTTGAACATTTCTTGCCATTCTCATCTGGCCTGCATAGTTTCTGTTGAAAAATCAGCTGACAATCATATGGGTGCTCCCTTATTGATAACTGTTTTTCTCTTATTGCTTGTATGATTCTCTTTGTCTTTTGCCCTTGGCATTTTAATTATGATGTCTATTGATGTGGTCCTATTTCGATTCCTTTTGTTTAGGGTTCTGTGTGCTTCCTGGGCTTGTAAGTCTATTTCTTTCACCAGGTGGGGGAAGTTTTCGATCATTATTTCTTCAAATAGGTTTTCAGTATCTTGCTCTCTCTCTTCTTCTGGTACCCCCATAATTTGGATATTGGTACACTTGAAGTTTTCCCAGAGGCTCCTTACACTATCTTTAACTTTCTGAATTCTCTTCTCTTCTTGCTTCTTTGAAAGAGTATTCTTTGCTCTTTGTATTCCAAATCTTTGACTTAATTCTTGCATTTCTCTAGCCTGCTGTTGGGTCTCTGTATAATATTTTTTATTTTAGTCAGTGCACATTTAATTTCTAGTTGGTCCTTTTTCATATCCTCGAGGGTCTCATTAAATGTATTGGCCTTTTCTAGGAAATTCTTGAAAAACCTTATAACAGTGGTTTTGAACTCTATATCCAGTCTTTTGTTCTCCTCCATTTCTTTCATTTGAGATCTCTTTCCTTGTCTCTGCATTTTCACTGCTTCCCTGAGGTGGTAGGGTGGCTTTGTGTACTTGGTGTCCTATATGGCCCGGTGGGTTAGCCTCCTCAGTTACCTGAGGTGGACACTCTTGGTGCTCCCCTTTGTGGACTGTATGTACAGCTTTGTTGTAGTTAAGTCTTGATTGTTGTTGGTATCACTGTGAGGAATTGACCTCCAGGCCAATTGGATGTATCAGTTGTGTCTACACCGGGATACCTTCTGTATTGGAAGACAGTCTTATGGGATCAGACTTGCAAAATTGCAAAAGCCTGAGCTCAGCTTGGATGGGGCAGAGTCTTAGGGCTGAGCCGCCAGTCTTGGCTTTCCCTCAGCCCTACCCTTGTGCTCACGCCTCAGACCTCTGCCTTCCAAAGATCCCCCAAGTTTCTGGACCTGATAGTCCAGATTCCCTTATAAGAGCATGGGTGCCTCAGGGGTTCGCCTGGAACTGGGTTTCAGTGCTCAGTGCAGTCGGACTGGGATTCAGTGCATTTAGGAGCTTCCCACTCCTTCCACTATGGAAAGGCTGTGGCAACCTCCATAGTCAGACCTCTCTGTGTTCACTCACGGGCACACGCGCCTCCTGAACCTTGCCTATTGTGGCTCCCCCAAGTTTCCGTGTCTCTGTATACCTTTCTCTATAGTCCAGACTCCCCCGTATGAGCCTGGGTCCACAGGGTTTCATCTGGAGCTGGGGTTCAGTGCAGTCAGAACTGGGGTTCAGTGCAGTTGGGGGCTTCCTTTCCCCTCCCGCCAGCCAGGCACTCGGACGCCCTTCCTCTCTGTGCACACCTCTCCCTACCTCAGCACTTCGTGACGCCTCTGATCCGTGAGTTTTTCTTTCCTTCTAGGTGTATAATTTCCACTCAGCCAGATTTCCTGTGGTTTTGGATGATGTCTGTTCTGTCTTTTATTTGTTGTTTTGAAATTGTTCACCTCACACAACAATCTCAAAACAACTAAAAGACGGAATGGACATCATCAAAAACCATAGGAAAGCTGGCTGAATGGGAAATCTACAACCAGAAAGAAGGAGAGAGGCTCATGGATCAGGGAAGCTGCAAAACTCTGAGGTAGCGAGACGCGTGCGCAGAGAGGAAGGGCGGCCGAGTGCCTGGCTGGCGGGAGGGGAAAGGAAGCCCCCAACTGCACTGAATCCCACAGCCAATTGGTACAGCTGATCCTCACAGCCAATTGGTCTGGAGGTCAATTCCTCACAGTGATACCAACAACTATCAAGACTTAACTACAACAAGGCTGTACTTGCAGTCCAAAAAAGGAGCACCGAGAGTGTCTACCTCAGGTTACTGGGGAAGCTGACCCACTGTGCCATTAGGGAATCTAGTACACAACGAAACCCTACCAATTCAGGGAAGCAGTGAAAATGTGAAGACAAAGAGGCAGGCCACAAATGAAAGAAATGGAGGAGAACAGACTACTGGATATAGAATTAAAAACCATGATTATAAGGTTTTTCAAGGATTTCCTAGAAAAGACTGAAAGATTTAATGAGACCCTCGAAAATATGAAAAAGGACCAACTAGAAATTAAACATACACCGACAGAAATAAAAAATATTATACAGAGACCCAATAGCAGACTAGAGGAATGCAAGAAGCAAGTCAAAGATTTGAAATACAAAGAAGCAAAAAACACTCAACTGGAAAAGCAAAAAGAAAAAAGAATCCAAAATGTTGAAGATAATGTAAGAAGCCTCTAGGACTTTAAGTGTGTTAATATCTGAATTATTGGGGTGCTAGAAGGAGAGAGAGAGAGCAAGATACTGAAAACCTATTTGAAGAAATAATGACCAAAAATTTCCCCCACCTAGTGAAAGAAATAGACTTACAGGAGATTGTTGTGTGAGGCAGTAGTTTAGGCACTTAACTAGGCTGCCATCTTGTTTTTTTCTCTGTTGTATAGTATTCTTAAAAGAGGGAACATGTTTATGATACATTAAATTTATTTAAGAGCAAACTATTTATTACAGTTTTATACTTGAATATAATACATTTTATTATTTCATATATTTTAAGAATATTACAGTGTTATTTCAGTTTTATAAAAATATTTATATATTTCACACATGCACACATAGAGTATAGTTTGACAAGATTTCGTGAGAGACACTATCAGTCACTTCATATTGTGGGTAAAAGTAATTCACTCTGGAACACAGTTTCTTGTGTGAAATGCTGATACTCTAATTCTATTACTTTTTTAATTACCGAAAGTAATTTTATAAAAAGATGCTTTCCCTTTCTACCATTTGGTCAGAAAATGGTAACATAATTTTTTTTTAAAAGCAACATAAGAGCCTTTTTTCTCTTTATATAGCATTTCTAAAGATATATATTTACTGGGATTCCCTTACATCTCCCAAAAGATAATTAATTGTTATATCATCATAAATCCATTAATTAAACATATTGTACTTCTTATGCTTATTGAAACTCAAATTGTTTTATGTTTAGCCAGTGGGAAACTCTTCAAGTTAATACCTAATTTCTTTTGACATGATCCTAAAAAGTCTCTGAAAGCTCCCTTGCTACCTGGTACAACAAGTTTCCAAACTCATTTTGTACATTTTCAGCCATTCATGTAGAATCAGACATTTCTCCTTTTCTCTTATGTTTTAAAGTATTTCAAGACACAATTTGGTCACCAGAAATATTCTTTGTTACTTGATTAGTCATTGTTTCCAGGCCTTTTTGGTGGATATATATACAGGGTGGGGCAAAAGTAGGTTTATAATTTGCATAAGGAAAAATAATACAATAATTAATAAGTAAAATAATACAAAAATAAACTCTGTTTCACATGCCCACAACTGTAAACCAACTTTCCCCCTACTTTGTGTTATAATTATATATACATGTATGTGTGTGTGTGTGTGTGTGTGTGTGTGTGTTATGTATAAACTAGAGGCATGGTGCATAAAATTCATGCACTGTGTGTGGGGAGGGTGTCCCCTCAGCCTGTGCCCTCTTGCAGTCTGGGACCCCTCGGGGGATGTAACCTGTCTGCATTTAGTAATTTGAGATTCTGCTG